AGCTAGACACAAAAGATTAGTACTGTATGACTTTATTTATATGACATTTGTGAACTAGTCTGTAGAGATACACCTCAGAGTCATTGTTACCCTAGGTGGCTTACGTTTAGTTTGACTAGTCAGAGGCATAAGAGAACTACCTGGAGAGATAGAAATACTATATATCTTTTGGGGGTCATAGTTACATCAAAAACATTTTGGATTTTACATGTATGATGGATTTTTTTATTTTATGAAAATTATATGTAATGTTGAGTTTAAAATATATGGTATATATTTCTGACAGGAACAGGATGTTTTATCTTCTTGTATTATTTAACACCATTCTGGAATTTAGAGTTGATAAAAATTAGAGATACAACACAAAAAGCTGTAAGTATTTGAAAGGGAGAAGGAAGTATGCCACTATTTGCAGATAATATTCTATTTTCTAGAAAGTCAAGGTAACATGGTGAAACAGCACTGGGATTATTAAGAAAGCTTAGTAAAGTGCCTGGATATAAGATAAATATATAATCTTCTAGAGAATAGAAACAAATAGTACATTCTTTATAGAAGTGCACAGTATGAAAGCAAAAATATGAAATTTGTATGATCAATCTTTACAAGAAATGCACAGACATATAATTTAATATTGAGGTTAAAAAGAAGGCTTAAATAAATGGGAAACTATGTTTCTGGATGAAAAGACAGAACACATACAAAAAAGCTTTTTTATAAATTACTTCCTAGATTAATAAAATTCCAATAAAATCCTTAAAAGAGTAGCTAAGAAAATTTTGAAAAGAGCAGAAGGGAGAATGGCACTTCCAGGGTTAAAATATAATTTAAAGCTATAATAATCAAATCAGTCTGATTATATTAGAAGATTTTTAAAAATTGAAAAACAGTTCAATTGAACAGAATAGGTAGTCCGGACATATGTTATTATAAAATAATCATATGTCTATAACAAAGGTGATATTACACATCAGAGTATAGAAAAAAGGTTAATCAATTAATGGTGGTGGTATAACAAATAAAATATTAGCATAGCTTCATCTCACAGTATATGCAAAAATAAATTCCAAAATCAAACAACAAAAAACTGTTTAAACAAATATAAGTGAAAGTTAATATTTATTAAGTAAAGCATTGGGATACACTGCAATGGCAAAAAGCAACCAATTTTCCTGTATAAATTTTCCCTTAGAAGGAAGTAAGAGACTCTGGAGGTCTGACTCATCACTAGCCTCTGTGTCTAGCACATGGTGTGTTTTCTAATAAATCTTTATAGAATGAACAAAAACAATGTTTTAAACTTTTTCTTAAAGGCAGCATCACTATCATGTTTTAAAATGACAAATTGAGAAAAATATTTGTCATATATATGAAGCAGGATTAATATCTTTCTCTTATTAAAAGTTTATGCAAATGATAAGAAACTTCATTAAGACCCATTAGATGGGCAAATACATGAACAAACTATTCACAATACAAGGGATATAAAGACTAATGAACATTGGAAAAATGAAGAATGTTAATAACCAAGAATTACATATTTTCTGTCAAATTACAAGATTTTTTTTTTTTTCAATAAGAATATCCAGTGGTTTGGGGGTAATTGTAATAGGTTAGCTCATATAGTTTGGGGGAGTTAATACATATTTTTTAGAAAAGGGATTGTGCATTCTATATTCACAGCCTTAAAATATCTACCACTCTTGGTGCTGTAATTACATTTCAGAACATGTATGTTAAAGAAACTATCTTTTAGAAAGAAAAAAATATGTGAAAAAGTTCATCATAGGATCACAGAGGCTAGTGAAATTTTGGCAACTAGGTGTCTAACAATAGAAAAATGGATTTTAAACTATAGCCACACAATGAAATATTATGCAACAATTTAAATACTTTCTATATTTTTAAATACCATTGGAAAAATTTTTTTAAATGATAAAGTGAGGAAACAAATTATGTTGTGATGCCAACAATAAAAAATACACATAGAAAAAACAGAATACTGATAACACACTCAGCAAGGGGGCAGGGACTCTCTGAGCAGGGCAGAGGGAGGGTCTCAGTTGCCTTCACATCAAGCCTATCACGCACGTACCTCGTTGTCCATTGAACAGAAGAGGAAACTGATACTCAGAGGGGTTAAGCGACTTGTTTAAAGTCATTGAGCTAATAAGCAGATTTTATATCAAGCAGGTTGGTTCACTAGTCCACGCTCAATCAATGCGCTATATGCCGCCTGAGTTTGTTAAATATAACAAAATGTTTTCAGTAGTTTTATTGGTGTGTGCATGTGTGCATGTGTGCGTGTGTATGTGTGTTGGGCGGGGGGATTCATTGATCTCCCTTATACACTTCCACATCTTCCAAACTTTCTATAATAAGCATGATTTTTTTTTTATCACTGTAAATGACCTTAATAATAGTAAGACAGGTGTTTTTTTTTTTTTTTTTTTTTTTAAATCCTCAAGTCAACTTCATTTTGTATAGTCACACTCACGGTCTCCATCTGGGATTACCTGAGGTCACTACGTCCAGTTGTCTCGTCCAGACGCCCTGGCGAGCCTCTGCTCCCCCTTCATCCAGTCTCCCGGGGTTCCACCCACTGTACTAGGATCCCCACAGTACCAGGATCCCCGTTTCCAAAGCACACTCTTTTTCCCCTTGTGCCTGCGTCGCCGCACACAGCTCCAGAGTGCAGTTGCCAAGCATTCAAAATCACAGGACCAGAGACTTTGGGACCGTCCCGGCTGCCGCGTCCACGTGGCCCAGCAGACCCCTACAGGCCGCGGGTTCACGCCCTAGTCACTGGCCGAGGCCGGGGACTCTCGGGAACGCAGCGACCTTCCCGATAGTGATCGAGCCCGCAGGGAACCCCCCTGGGGCTGGCAGGGCTGGGGTTGGCCGCTGCCCACAAAGTCGGAGAGGCCTGCAGGCTCGCGGCGTTTAGGGCTCAGGTCCGGGACCAGCTCCAGCAGCCCGCAGTCCTGGAGCTGTGCCCTTCGGAGGTCGCGCCAGGAGCCTCGGAGGCACCAGCGCACCTGGCCGACCCTCCCTTATCAGATTAGGACAGTTGCTGACAACAATGATTATTTCAAGCTGACTCAGAACTGGCCCTGGAGAAAAATCGAGTGTTATGAAAGAGGGTTGGAGGAGACGAAATTCACGGCTTGCTTTGCCTGGGGGGAGTTATTGCGGAGTGGTGTGTTTTAAACACGTTACCTTGAGAGTTAATTATGTCTCCGGTTGGGAAAAAGAGACGGGGAACTGTTTGTGCTGTCGTGGACACCAAAGTCCCACTTTCGGGGAGCTTGGGCAAGGGTCGCCCTTTGATAGCTCGGCGACTGGCGCGGAGGAGTAACCAAGGTTGCCGGGTCGCTGGTGAAAACATTCGACTCGAGCCTGCCTTGCCCCTGTGAGAGCTCGTGTGCACTAACACTGCCCGGCAGCGGGGCCCTCTGCCCGGAAAGGTCCCTTCATTTCTCGGATCCGCTCAGGGGAAAAAAAGGGTGACCCCTCCCCGCCCCCCAGTCCGCTTCCTTTTGTGGCTCATAGATGCATACAGAGCATGGAAAAAATAATAACAACACAATTATACCTTGAGTGTTTGACGTTCGAAAACCTGACTCCAGGGGAATCCCTGAATCACATATTGCAAACTTGGGCGTCTGTGAAGTTTGCGGGACGCATACTCCTTGGGTTTGTAAAACCATTGCTCCGCGCGCCCCCAATTTGCAGCTCCAGGGCGGAAAGCTGGGCCGAGAAGGGGTGGGGAGGGTCTCCAGCTTCTGCCCAGTCTCCTGCCTCGGAGCCGCGGTGTCCGCCCCGGCCCGGAGCAGTTTGTGCAATTTAGAAACTCGATAGGAGGCAGCAGCTGATCTCCCACCACCCTAAAAATAATCCCGTCCCGGCGCACTGCGTGCTTCGGCTGGGGGAGGAAAACTGTCCTCGGAGGAAGTGAGTCCGCTCTTTTACATAAATATCATTAAAGATTTTTAAGAGTCACGGTAAGCTGTCGGTTTTGATCTTACATTTCAGCGACCCGAAGGCTCCGGCGCACTCTCCGAGCGCTTCGCCTTCACGATCGCTATTTCTAGGATTAAGAAGCCGGCCCGGCCGCAGTAGAGAGGGGGTGGGGATCAGGGCTCCAATGCCGCTTACAAAACTCTGCCGGCTGCTCCTTAAACCAACTGGAAACAGGGAAAGGACTTATTATTAGTTTTATTTTTTCTCTTAGACGTTTCCTGTATTGTTCATGAAGGAGCTTTCTACGAGTAATCTGCTTAATTGCTGTTATTTTTTGCTTTTTAGGAGTTCTGCGTCCGGGCTTGAAATTTACATCTTAAGACAGTGTAGCAAGTCGGTGTTTGGAAGGTAGCGCAAGTGCACCCGTAAGGGTTTGAAGCAGCGTCAAGCCATTGCCCAAGGTATTTATTTATGTCTTTGCTTTATTTGTTCAGTTTAGGATTTAAGGGGAAAAAAAAAAAAAATCCCGTTGCAGTGTCTGTCGTCTGCTGAGTAGTTCTAACATTTCCTTTGGTG